CCTTAGAAACATCTGTATGGTAATCACTACAGGTCATTTTCCCTGCCAAAGAGTTTAGCACATGCTGAGCTTAAGGTTTCCACAGCTATATTTTGTGCAACATCCAAGCTAGTTGATTTATATCTAGGTGAAGGCTCTTAATGGTGTTGGTTTGTGCAGCCTATAGTACAATAGCTTCAGATATAAAAGACCATTTCAAGACTAATTTCAAATTTCAGTAAGGAAAACAGACAACTAAGGGCATGTGGGAAGATAATTTAATGAAGAATTGTAGGAGAATTTTTGTGCAAATAATGTAAAAGCATAGCAACATTTTACTATGTATGTACTATTGAAAAGGAGAAATATACCTGATAGAAGATGGAAAACAGCTGTAAGATAAGCCAACAACATATAGATGCTTAGAATTAAGGAGTAGGGATGAGGCAGGAAGGTAGTTAGGCCTACCTAAAACTAAGAAAGTATCTAATTGAAATCCAGTAGATGTTATAATACATGTGTTATAAAAACACATGCTCAGAAACTATCTGCATGTATCCTGATGTAGGATATTATGAAAGTATGCTCTGGGTGAAACTGTTTTACTTGTTTAAAGAGAGCATGAAGAGAAGTCTATATGTACTCAAAGAAATGGTACAAGCTTTTTGCTTAATGCTACTGGACTGGGGCAGAGATTTGCAACCTGAATTTTCTCACAAAACTGTGGACACTCTTGCTCAATGGTTCATTGAACGTATTACTGGCATGGTAGCTGAATCAATATCTGCAGTCTATTTCAGACCTTTCTATTAAAAAGGTTATCTGTGCTCAATTTAATTTTATCCATTTTATCAAATTCTTTCAATCACATTAATTTTTCAGCCTTCTCTTAAAGATTTATTTCTTCATATTATGGATTAGATGGTGCTTTTCTTTCTGTAAAAAAGTTTTCTCAATCAAAGTGAGAATAAGCAAGCCTCTCATTAGCAACAAGAAAAACACAAATAAATCTAGACTCATTCAAAAACCAAGCTGTAGTCTTTTCTAATTATTTCCATAACCTTACGGAAGCCACATTTCCCAGGAGAGCATCTAGATAATCCTTGAATATTAAGAAATGAGCAGAAAGTGCAGCAGATTTAGCAGGCAAATTGGAAAGAGAAAGAGGATTGAGCACCTGGGAAAGAGACGTGCTTCAGCATTCATTAGACTGGCTGTTATTCCTCACAGTTGGGAAAAAACATCCATCATTTTTCATTCCTTGGTCATACAGATGATTCAGAGAGTTTTACACTACAAATAATTCTGTTTAAAAAAATAAGTTTTTCAAGTACCTGATTGTCATATGAGCAGCAGACTGGGGTATGAAATTTCGCCAAGAGTGCTTAGAAAATCATTTTTAAAAATAGGATCCAGGAAATGAATTGTGCCATGGAAATATTTTTATTTAATAGCTCTCAGCAAGTTAATATATTTGTGCTTGCACTCTACTTTAGATGAAAATGCTTAATTTTGTCTTAGTACTAGAAGATGTCGCTTTTTTTTTTTTTTTTTTTTTAATTAAGAAAAGCTGGATACTTGTCCTCTTAAAACATGGAGCTCTGAGGCTTTTGCAAAATTTCAACTGGAAACATTGCAAAGGTTTTCCTTTAATTGTAGGCAGTGTGTGCAGTTCAGAAGAGGTGACTGCTCTTTTTCAATGAAATGCACTTGGGAAACACTGTGAGCAATTTTTGCATTTCTTTTCCAACCAGCTGTGGTCCCAGTCCAAGCAGGTATTCACCAGTCAGCCACAGCTACCCCAGAGCACTGGACTGCCACTTCTAAAAGCTCAAACGATCATGTTCAGGTAACATTTTTTTCTATTGCACAGCTTACTTTGTTTTCTTCCCCATGCTTTTGAGTGAGGCTTCAAAAATTCCAGATAGTCTACCTCCCCATATAGTGGCAGCAGGAGAACAGGAGTGGTGGTGGAAGAAACGATGACCTCTGCTGGCCTTACTCTCTGTATGGAGCCTTTTCCATGAGTGGCCTCTCATTCCCAAGTAACAGACCCCGTCAAGCTCAATGCATGTCCTGAAGCATCAGATGACTGGGCACTGTTCCCTCCCTGTTAGGCAAAGAGGAAAGAATTCAGTGCTGTCTTAGCGATCTCAGGTTCTATTATAGGCATACAGCAAACCTCATTGAGCAAAGGGGGAGGGAGAAGGTTTGGGAATAATTTTTTGGTACTTCTTTTGAGCTCAGCAGTACCCCATAGACAGCAAGGAGCCCTAAACTTTACTTTCATATGCACTTGCATAAGTTTCCTTTCTCTCTTTGCATGCTTAAATTTATGTATAAATATAAATGCTCCCAAAAGCTATGATACATCTGAGCTTTTTCAGCCAGCATTTAATGCTGTTCTTTAATCTTAATCTATTTCACAGGTGAACCAGCTCTTCAGAATTCCTGGATTTTGTAGGAAGAGGGAGGGAAGCTTGAGTATTTGATTTTGGCATTTTTATGTGAAATATGATGACCCAGATACATGCTGGTTTTAACAGTCTCTTTTTTTTTTCCATTATTTGTATTTTCAGCATGTAGAGGGGCATCACTTTTTGTATATCAATAATTCATTTTACCCGTAACATGAATTAAGGTGGTTTGCTTTCTTTTCCTTTGTTTTTCATTCGTACACATGCAGGCACAGGCACACATGCATATTAATTACAAGTAGAAAGCACAAATGACACTACATACTACACAGCATCTGCTCAATCCTTAATTAACCAACCTTCATGTGGTTCCCATGGCAACAATGCTTAACAGACTCCCCTGACTTAGAATATTCAATAGAAAATCTTACACTACATATTTTATTCAAATTGTGGCCATCAGATTACGTTTGTGTTAGCATTGTAGTGGAGGTGTTGATGGGAACAGAATGAGTCCTTGCTCTAATTGACCCCTCCACATATATTACCTCATTAAAATGTATAATAATGTTCAAGCTAAGTCACGTTAAAGCAGACTCGGTCTTTTTCAAAGGCTAGGCAGAAGCCCATTACCCCTTTTTTGTTTGTGTTTTAAAGAACCTCTCAAGCTTCAGAAAATGAACAGGAATATTTTTCAACCCTGCTCTTGCAACAACCATCCTAAGGGCAATTATGAAAATATCAACAGCAAAAAGGCATTTCCTTGGTGTATTTACTATCTCTCTAGTTCTCGTATCTTATCAGCAGTCTCCAAGCATATGTTTCAGCAAGGTGTGCTCCCCATTATTTAAATCCCAAGGGAATGTGGAGTAACACTTACTGTTGCTGTTATAGCTAATGGAAAAGCAATATATTTTGGTGACTCATTTAGCAAGGGAAACCCTATTCTCATTTTTGGCCACATCCTCTCTAGCTTTTTTCCAGATGCACATCTCTCTCTACACTGAATGATGCACTGGGCTGGATGTCTCACTATGATGGTGTTGGACTACTCCAGTAGCTAGACTTCAAGACCTTTTTCTTGTCAAGAATGAAAAGCTATATCCCCCAGGAGAAGAGTCCTGATGGCCATGGGCCAACTGTGACCCACTGGCAACATGGCCCTTCCCATACCCAGCACAGCACCCTACAGCAGGCCATTTGGATGAAAACTCTTAGAAGAGAATCACAGAGGGAGGCAGGAGCCACCCCTGCTGTTTTCAACCCTGCTTATGCCCAGAAAGCTCTCTCCCCAGAGACAGGATAGGACAGAACCCTCTGAAGGCCAAGAAGCTCTGCTCCTCTGGGGACGGGCTCCACGTGGTAGGCTGGGGCAGGGAGCTCTATGGGGCCATAATCACATCCAACATTTTTTGTCCTGTAAGAACGGTCACGAATCCATAGTATTATCCCCATGTGGGAAAAACAAACAAACCCAAGAAGGGTCCCAGGTATAATGAGAAGAAGGAGGCAGGAGCAGGTGACTTCAAGCCCTGACTGTACACTAGTGACAACTGGAAGGAAGGGCATGTTGGTTTGCAAAAGCTCTGTGTGTTTGCATCTCATAAACTGCTGTATCTTTCCTCTGGGTATTAAATTACAACTTTAAACACTGACTGCGTACAGACAGTTGAGAAGAATGATTTTGCTATTGTACGCAGAAAACTGTGTTGCTCTGAAAGTATGTACAAATTAAACGTTACTCTGAGTGCAGGGATAATCTAATTATTGCTTCCTTTTGAAGTAAGAGAACAATATTTACTGAGTAAATTATGGACCTCTAAAGGTAATACTTTCTTTGAAGATTAAACAACACACATGTTGTTAGTTATTATAACCATACTTGACCCCTGTTGCTCTGTAAAAATAGAAATGAATTTTGAGCTTTCACAGAGATGTTACATTTCAGAAGGCACTTCACTGCTTCATATCCCTGTCAAATGCCTTTAATGAGTGACTGAGAGGGCAAAGTATCGGAAAATCTGTTTGTGTGATGTGTACAGTGCACAGCTACTCTGCAGTTCACAAGAACTTCTCATTTTAGTGTGGAGGAGGCACCAGTGGCATGGAGAAACCATTCTCAACATTATGGCAACAGATTGGGCCCATAGGTCAGCACATCTGCTCTTAGTGACATGAGCCTAGGGTATACGTCTTCTGGAAAGGATGCAGAGCATCCTGGTTTTGTGCTATGCTGATCACAGCATAAAGAAGGACCTAAGGGCAAAACTTGGCATCTCCAGGAGAGTTCAGCAGGTCCAGCAGGACCAGGCAGTGCAATACACAGTTCACAGCTGTGGATCCTCAATCAATGCAAAGGCTGCCGTACACAGTGATGATCCTTCCTGCCATGAATTCCTGAAGTGATTACATCAAGCTTAATTTTCAGCACTGAAACACTCCAATCAAATAATAAATTATTGTTATAGTGTAATTGCATGGAATTCCCACGTGGACTTTTTTCATCACTAAATTCCTAAATACTGTATAGAAGCTGTTGTCCTGTGGTACTCCTTGATAATTTTTGAATTTGTATCGCTTTGACTGACTGCTCATAATCTAAGCTTGAAAAACATAGCATTGAAGTGGAACAGTTTGGGTATTTCAAGTTCAGAATAAAGTCTGCATGTTCCAAATATCTGAAGGCCCTTGGATTTCTTTTATGTTCAGGCCCATCTTTTTAATTACCCAAGAATCGCTGACAGAAGTTACAGAAATAATAGGTTGGAAACTTCTGAGCAATGTTTAGGGAAATGTTCCTGCTTATCAGAAAGCAATCAGGAAATTAAGCAGTGAACACTAATTGGGTTACATTTAATTGAAATTATAGATGGAAGGACTGCATTCTGGGGATTTTCAGATGTTCTAAGCTCTAAATTTCTCAGAACAAGGAAAATGTTGAGTGTTCAGGTTGCATGTTCAGAATATTTGAGAAGCATTTTGAAGCCCTTGTCATCTCACAGGGCATTCGGTTATAGGACTATGACACAGTCCTGCCTGCAGGACAAACAGGAGTGACTAAGCCTTTGCAAATATGTTAAAATGTTTCTCCTCTTTTTGGTGGTTTCCCACAACGCTGATATGTTGTCTTTGAAAGTTGTTCTCCTGATCTTTCTGAAGAATTGTGCTATAAATAGGATGAAAGCAGCTCGAGTCAGAATTAGAAATTGAGCCAGTGTGCAAACTGAGGCTTCTAGAGCAGAGGAATCTTACCATTCACTACTAATTACTTTATACTGTGAAATACCCTTCAGCAGTCAGCATTCAGCCTTGGGTACTGTGAGTGGTCTCCCAGTGCTGTTCCACCTTTTGCAACCTGCACACAACTAACTGAGCTCTAGCTAGGCACCACGGGGACAACAGCTAAATAGGTGGGTGGCCTGTGTGATTCAGAGGTTCCTGTGAGGCCCAGCTGCTCTCCTGTGTGTCAAAGCAGGGCTGAGTGTGCCACTGCTGATCCAAGCCCCAGTGGCATCAAACAGTTTGTTCCTCTCTCAGCTAGGTTTTTGGATGCCAACCTGCACTGTGTTGCTGACAGACCTGTGATAGCCATTAGGAAACAGATGAGCATGCCCCACAGATCACCTACAACGTATGGATCGGCCATACGCAAAGTTAGCTTTCTGTACCACTCACTTCACCTTATGGTAAAAAAACAATGCAATTCCAGAAGTAGAAAAGCACCTACCTTGTTCTCTGTTCTCAAGCTTTACATACATACTGAGGACTTAAAGAAACCGATCTTGATAACCCTCCCAACAGAAAGCTTGGGCAGCAGCTTGAAGTTAGTCAGATTTGCTCAAAATAATGCCACAGCATTCAACAGCAGCAATGGCATTTCCAACTCATGACTTACTGATGAGAAATCTTATACATCACTTGTCAAGATACAACTTGGAGGCTAGCTGAGTCCAGGACATCATCTCCATGGTGGGAAACGGTCTCCAAACCATCTTGAAGAAAGAATAAAGCTATGTGCAAGACTTTTCTGTCCATAGAGCATCCAGAAGCGCTCCCAGATCTCAAAGTAAATGACTGATTTGATGTGTACTTCAAAGGAGGCCACACCTTAGCTTTGGAGCCTCAGAGTCCTTCCTTTGCCTGCAGCGTTGCCACTGTCCAGCCTTCATTGAGATACAAGCTGTTTCAATGTTACTTAAGAATGAAGCACTTGGAGATAATTTAATGAAGCCTGGGCAACCTTGTCAATCCACCAAGTGGCTGCATGTTGGTTTTCAATCAGACCACAGCTGGCACCTGCAACTCTGAAAGGAAAGCAACATCAGCAGAGCAGCAGTTTGACTCCCTCTGATGTTATCCACTTCACTGACAGCCAGAGCACCTCGCCCTGAAACCCTGCTCCTTGCACAAGTGAGACATCAATAACACACAGTCAATAGCATCAAAAGTGGCAGAGAGGCCCTAGAGGATGATAATGGCTACCTTTGTATCTAGATTGGGCTTGGATGAAGATATTTCATAGAATTGACTTTAGTTTATTTGCTTTAATTAGGTTTTTCTAACTGGCCTATAACTAACTCTCAGCATTGCTAGGCCAACTGTGTGCAAGTAGAAAAGGAACTGTTTCACTGCAGGTTGGATATTACATACTTCAGCCAGAAGTGACACTAATTTCACGTGTTTTTTGCACCTTTACCTGAATGTCTACCTAGGGCTGCTGATCCCGGGGTACTGTCATTCCACTCACCTGGGAGGGCTGGGGACAATCTATCTTCAGCTCGTGAGACAGTTCATCCATGCAGAGCATTTTGGCGAGCAATGATAAGCATGGGTGACTGAAAGGATCACAGCTTTGCACCACCCCTTTAGGCATGATTTGGCAATGTTATAGAAAGCTGCTAAGAAAGCTTCCTTGAGTGTGATCTTTTGAGTCTCAACCTCAGAACTCAGTAGAAATTGCAGATCTCTGTGAGTCCTTCTGTGCAAGGAGTAGGGATGTCTTTAGTGGGGCCTGAGAGTGAGTTACCCGAAGAAGAGGTAGGAACATCTATGTAGCTGAATCCTAAGAAATGTTCCTGGGGAAATTTGGAGACAGCTACTAACTTGGATTGAGCTGCCATCAACACTGCTTTACACGTCCATGAAAAACTTTGACATTCCCAGATGACAGTATGGAATATTTCACTGCTGTGGCCTACAGAACATGTTCAAGTTCCTCCATGATCCTCTCAGTCTCTGGTAATCTCCTGATACAAAAAGCTTAGCTGCCTATTTTATGATGCATTTTTGCAGAACAATGGACAGTATTAATGATAATTACTTAGGTAACTGCTAGCAAGGATATGTTGTGAGATTTTTCCTTTAAACTGAAGAAATGAAATGGTCTAGTTTCATACCAGCCTACTAAAGGAAGCCTTTGTGCAATCATTCAAGACACTGAATTTAAGCCATCCTTGTAGTTGCAACTCAGAACTGGGCAGAAAGTGAAACATGAAAACCTTGCTGAAGGCTAACATCTAGTTGTCATGACTAAGATTGCTGAGAATATTCACAGCTTCTTCCACATAAAGGTCTTTGACAGGGAAGAAACCAAATACAACCAATTACTTTGGCAAGAAAGTCTTGAGAACTGCAATTCAGTAACAGAAAGAGCAGACATACAACCTTTTACAATATGCTGATGCCCCATAACCTATGCCATTTCTACCTCATACATAAAACAGGAACATTGAGGACTCTTCTCTGGAAGGATTTGGGGCTGCAATTCTTTTCAAAAGAATATTAATTAGAAAGTATCTGAGAAGTCATGTTATTTCCCCATTTGTCATCAAATGCATATGGAGAACTACTTCATCAGCAACTTTCACTTGCACTCAGAATTCAATCACTGGTACTTCCAGGAAAGTTATGACCACAGCACAGCCTCTTGGTTATTCTCTGAACAGACAACTCCACGAACATGATTTTACCAACATTACAGCACGTTACTACAGAATTTGCAGTAACTTAACTGAGATGCAGTGAAACATTTTGCCAGTTTTTTTTATGGATAACATACAAACCAATACAGCCAACAGGTCACAATAAGCGAAATGATTAATGTGCTTATGTGGCAAACATTAGGAGATTTTTTTTAGAATTCACCTTTATAAATAATCTTCAAGGAGTTTTGCTGAGAGCCTAATCTGTATTTATTTTGGACATTTGAAAATCACATTTGTGCATGGACTAGCATAGTGAAAAGTCTCTAAAACTGCAGCTGAGTTTACCCTAACACTCTAAACAACATCCAAGGGAAGTACTTGCTCTATTCTGGCCTCATCTTGTAAGTAATTGAGTGCACTGAATCAAAAGGTGTTGATTCAGCTCGCTGTAAGCTTGAGACCTTTTCTTTACCATCTTACAGAAACTGATGAAGAAAGGTTTGTTGTGAACTTCTAAAGCTGTGAAATATGGCAGCACTACTAGTATGCAGCGACATTAAGGAGAAAGTGCTGGACAAAGTTTAGACATCATAGTGAAAAAAGCCCTCTTTGTTAAGGATGGAATAGCATTAACAAAAACAAAAGGAACAAAGAGAAAGCCCAGCCCAGTGTAGTGGAGATTTGCAGTAAAGCACTTGTTTCTTTAATTTCAACACAGAAATAAATGACTAAATTCAATTTTGAGCTTTCACAGTTAAGATGTCTTGACAAGCATATCAAAAAAGCAAACACAATATGCAGTAAGAGTTAGAAAAAAATACAAAAGGCCATGTGAATATACCCATTTCAAAGGAGAATAATGAAGCTGAGGGGTAGAAAGTACTTCTGAATTCATATTTCTATTTAGAAAAGAGTAGGAATCATTAATACATGCCTGACAGTGACTGAAAATGCAACCTCCTAAAATGATTGAGTCTCACTGGGGCTTCATTTAAATTCTGCTATGTATTAACAAATGCCTGAATAATGGACAGAGTTCAGGGGTTCATAATACATCTTGTTATAAAGAACACCTGCCGAGACCATACTGGTCTGTAGTTTAAACATCTTATACAATTAAAATACCTAAATCTAGAGGCCACCTGTTTCCTGCCTTTTCCTTCCCCAAGTGCCTTAAGTTTTACTGTAAATACAGGTGAGCAAAATAAGATGCTGTCTGATATTAGGGGACTTGAGAAATTTGCACAACAGCTGAAGTCCCGGTCAGTGGCTTTTCAACTCCCAGCCCCCCAGTTAAAACTGATGAGAGAAGCAGAATCCTCCCTTTCTCTCTCTCTCTCTTTGCCACTTAGAAGGCAATTCCCACACTGGTTTGGGACAGCAGCTATCCATCCAGCAGTTTGGATTTGACAGCAACCAAGCACCAGATGTTGCAGCAAAGGCATAATATAAAGCAGAATGCGCAACTGTGGAGGAAACTTCTTAATTTTTCCCAAATTCCCACCAGGGCAATGTGCTTATCCCAAGACATACTGCATCCCAGGAACTGAGATGGCTGTTCAGAAATTTAGCAAAAGCTAAAAAAGCTGTCCAGACAGCAACCCCATCTCCACTGCTGATCAGTGAAGTGAGGCTGTGGTCTGCAAGATCTATAACAAGAGGCTGTATTTCCCTTCTAATTTTAGTCTAGCTGTGAAATGGAAAGAACATAAAATACTTTCTGAAATTCTAGAATGGTGTTTTGTTGTTTTGTTTTGTTTTGTTTTGTTTCTCATACAGAGATGCCAAAGCAGTGCAGGTGAGCAGGAGCCTTGAAGGCTGGAAATCAAAACTGAAAAATACACTTGCAGGCCTGATCTTTCCACAGTGAGACTGGCACACCAGTTAACAGCATCTGGGAAACAGGATCTATTCACAGGAAATGTCGGTTGCTCCACTGCTAGCCCAAGACACCAACCAAGCAGCTATTCTGACAGCACAGGGAGAAACGACTCAGAAAGCACTGCTTTTGAATGTCCTCAAACAGCACAACAGCCTTGGAAAAGAAGCCTCCACAACAAGAAACCCTTGCTGACAAACATCTGGTACCCAAGCTTGCACTCCTTGCAGATCTTGCACATGCAAAGCTTTGCTTCATATCTATACAAACAACCCTGCACTCCCCTGTGCCATAAGCCATGAGCTAACCCAGGGCGGCACAGCTGTGTTCCTTCCATGTTGCTTCAAGATGTGCCTGCTCCTGGTTTTACCAGCTGAGGTGCCTGGAATGCAGTTTTGGCAGCACTGCACCAAGACAGGAAGTGGATAAGGGGAATTAAGTTTTTTCCTCCTATTTTCAAATTTCTTTGGAAGACCCAGCATTGCAACAGAGTTACAGTTTTGCAGAAAGGTGTGTGGAGCATTTATTAAATTCAGTGAAATTATACAGATATTTCTGAAAGACAAAAAGGTATAAAACAGGCCCCGTTTCTTACTACCTAGTGCTGATGATCCCATAAACCTGAATGCAGGAAGCTAGCTGGCTCCCACACGGGAAAGCAGCAGTTTCCAAAGGGATCGATTAAACTGAAAGCCCACTATTTTGCCCAGAGAAGCTGTGGATGCTCCTTCTCTGGAAGCATTCAAGGTCAGGTTAGACGGGGCCCTGGGCAACCTGATCTAGTGGGTGACAGCCCGGCCCATCGCAAGAGGGTTGGAAGTAGGTGTTTTTTAAGTTCCAACCCACATCATTCAATGATTCTATGATTCTACAGTTCTATGATTCTATGATTACATGATTCTATGATTCTATTTATCCCCTATTTCTTCTTTTGACCAGCAGAGTTTCATCCGCTAAATTTTAATGCATGAGAGCACATACTGAAATAAGTTACAATACAGTAACAAACTGACATAACAGCATCTCTGCACAGAGCTTGGCAATAGTACCAAAATGGTGATAAGCTCTGGGACATGAACAAACACTTACTAGCAATTACACTGATACCATAAAAAACATCCCCTTCTAAGCAGTTGCTGAGCCAACGGATAAGAAAAACAGCCCAATAATTAAGGGTACATAGCACACATTTCAGAAGAGATTATAGTTATAATTCACTAGTTGCTGTCTTTTCACATAGTATCTCTATAGTTAGGCTACTGATCCATACCCTGAAATCCCAAACAGCAGGCTCATCTCTCTTAGTTTGCCCTTTTCAAAAGAAGATTCCAGAGAAATGGAACAGTCACATTCATCGCTCTTGGTGGCATCTTAGCAATTTCAAAATGCTACATCTCCCTTGCTACCCACGGCTTCTTGCAAAGCATTTGAAATCACATCATAAATTAATGATTATAAAAAAGGCTCCAAAATAACTTAATTGTTAAATTTATCATTGGAAAAATCTTGCATTGGGTATTAAATACTATCCTTAAAGCCACTTGGTCATACAGAGAGTAACTACAAACATTTAGAAAACCAAACACAATTATATTTCCAAAGTGCTATTGAAATTAGACAGTGAGCCATCAGAGGTAAACAATATTCTCCTCCCCTCCATCTCCACTTTCTGCATCCTGCGGGCTCTCAGGCTGGTGGTTCAGCAGCAGCGCTTCCACTCGTGGTGGCTGAATGGATCCATGGTTTGGACTGTCTGCCTGGGGACCCTGGATCTGTGATGCATTTAAATCTGTAAGAAACAAGAGGAGGACACGTGACAACACGTCTTCTTTTATGCCCGTGCATACCACCACTAAGAACACCACTAAGAACAATTTCTGACTTTTTGATCAGCAATGTGCTAAAGCACCATCTCCAAGAAAGCCACATCTGTCCAGAAGGAAAAACACTCCTATATTATTTAATTATATGAAAGACTGGTGAGAAGTAGCATGCCCAAAACTACTGAAATCCGTTCAAGTCTTTCCACTGCCATGAAAGAGCTTGGATCAGTCTCACTATTTTTACAGTAAAAGACATTTACATCCCTACTTTGCCAACCAGAAACACACTAATGACAATGTATACAGACCGTCAGAGTTGGGCTGGAGGGAAACATACTGTAGATAATCAGTACCCTTATTAGTAAGATAATCCAGTTTTAAAATTAATATAGTTTTCATCATTACACAAAATTATACCTGCAAGACTATTTTCTTATGGATGCGAAAGTTAGCAAAGTCCAGTTAAGAGACTGTTTGACTTGCACTTGCAATCTGTAACAGATATGTAACTAGTCGGTTCCTTCCACCAACTTCATCTTTGTTTCTTTGAGCATACTTACTCTATTCTTGTCTCAGTCCTTTAGCTGTGGAAATACTACTTGTACCCAAGCACCACAAAATTATTTTACAAGACCTTTCATTTGTTATCTTCCCAATTGTCTCCTACACATGCAGAGAATCAGGCACTTTTTTTTTTTCCTCCAGAGCTCTGAAGGCTTTTGCAATCATCTGTAAGTTACTCAAAAAAAACCCCAAACTAACTAACTAACTAACTTACTAACAAGTAAATAAACAACAACAACAACAACAAAAACCCACATGGTTGAATTCTCTTTCTGTACCATTTCAGGACATCAGGAATTACATTATAGAAGTTAGCTCTTCTGCACCTTTGTTTCTACAAATCAACATTTCCCATATAAACAAGATGCATGAGAAGGGAGCATATATCATCACATTTGGTAAGGGAAAAGCCTGCGACAGACAAACTGCAATACTTGGCCCATTCTCATTACTACAGAACCAACTCAACCAACCTCTGCTACTACACAGGATTAAGGGCTTTGGAAAAACAGCTCCACAGAAGAAGCAGAGCCCGGCACCCATGCCACCACAGGTAATATCAGAAGCAAGCAAACCCAGCATTGGGTCCTTTGAGCCTTCTGTCACCCACGCAGAAACTAAAAAGACATTCTGCACCCACCTCTGTCCTCATCCCTTCTCTCTTGTGTGCAATGGAAATCTCTTATTAAGAAGATAATTGTTTTTCTTACTCACTGTCACTCTAAATGATCATGATTTACAATGATACCTGCCCACAGCTGGCTCTCCCATGATGCATGCAGCTTTCACCAGTCTCGTTTATTAAATTTAAGGAAACATAAGTTTGCTGGTACCCTACAAAACTCAGGCTGCTCACTACCACTGGGAATGCAGAGCAGTGGGAGTCAGCTGTGGGAAAGTGTATAGGAACACACTGTACTGTTGCATTGCCTTCAGTATGTTCTCCACTCTGATACCCTGAGAGCAAAGAGCCTCCAGTACTTCACTCCAGTGCAAATATGTAGTACCTGCTGCTGAGACTGCAGGGCAGGTGCCAGGGCCAAGGTATTTATATATAATCACTGGTCAGTACCAGGGTGACACAGAATGCGAGAAAATGCAGCCTAAATTCCCCTTCTTTCATTGTTTTACACTGGATTTAAGGGATCAAGTTTTAGACTCTGTGAAAATCCACAGTAAGTTTTGATTGCAGGTGCACTACTCTGGATTTGCAGAATGTAACACAGGAGGATTGGACTTCCTTACTCAAACAGCTTAGCTTTGTTAGTTGACATCTGCACTTTTTTTTAATAGCCATATTAGAAAAAGATTACAATTTGCTGACTCAGATTCAAGAAACCAGAAATATCCTAACACCTGCTTGTCTTTTATGCAAGCTGGATGCTTCAGTTTTATTTATTTAGTAAAAAGAGTGAAAGGTCCTCAATCTCTGAACACTTGTACTGAGGGCAATTTTGCCCACATTAATATTCCTTTCAAGTCCTGTGAGTCTGTTCATCTTAACAAAGTTACGTGCATAAAAATATCAGGCAGTAAGCATTTATGTGAAAGATCTTCTTCCAAAGTTTATGAAGTACATAATTGGAGAAGCCTAATTACAAATTTGAAGAAACCTAGAAAAGAAAGAGAAACACCTTACACACGGTTATTTTCTACCATCAAAACTAAACAGTAATTGCTTCACCAATTAAAGCAGTAGCTGTTTCCAAGCCATTTCTCATGAACTGGTACAATGCTAAGCAGCAGAGCTAAGCAATGAAAACTGACAATGTTCTGGAAAAACAAATCACATGCTGTCACTGTTGGAATAAGTAATTTCTTGGCAGTTTAGTTGCTTTTCTATTCTCTTATTATTGTTATTTTTAAGCCCTTGCATTCTAAGAACCTGAACAGCAGGAGAGTTTCACATTGGATATCAGGAAAATGTTTTTCACCAGAAGGTGGTCGGGTACTGGAACAGGCTCTGCAGGGCAGTGGTCATGGCACTGAGCTTGTCAGACTTTCTGAGACAACACTCTCACTGATTTGGGGTATTCCTATGTGGAGCCAGGGGGTTGGACTCCGTGATCCTTATCCTCCAGATATTCTGTGATGCTGTGACCTTGTGATCCAGGGTGTGGCAGCCCAGCCACTATCATGGTTGACGCACACTTTGGTGAGGTGGAAAGGATCTGCTTTTCCAGCAAACGAGGGAAGGGAATGGTTTCAGATGGCACCAGGCTCTTCCTCACCAAGGAATGGCATCCCCAGGCTGAAGCCCCATCCTGCTATGGGTGCCACATTGCAGGCTGCCTTCAGAGAGATGAGCCTGGCAGGAGGCAATGCGGTTTGTCATGCAAGCAGAGACAATGGCTTGAGCCAGTGATAAGCCACAGGTGAAGGGGCTGCTGCTGACAAGGGACTGCCCAGAAACTCCGTGCTGGCAGTCAGAAAGTGGCACTGGGGAACCAAAGTCCAGCCTCTCTGCAGTGCTGTGATGGGCAGCCATGGCTTGGAGCGGATTTAGAGCTGGGCCAGTAAGGACCATCTGCCTTTGGTGAGCCTTCTCTTCACTTTTCCAAGAGCACTGCTCCAGCACAATGAGGCCAGGTACCAGGCAACTGCAAAGAAGCACTTTATCACCCTAAAGTATATTTTTAGACAACAAAAATAACAACACAAGCCTGTGAGGCAGCTTTCAGATCATTTCCAAGGAGGACCTCAGTTCTCAGACCAGGGTCTGGTCTCCAACGCAGAGAACCAGAGAAAAGTTCCTGGCTAAAAACATGATCTGGGAAATGAGAAATGTGGCATTCTGCTTCCTAACTGCCTTATCCTACCCTTCCTGTAACACCAAAAGACAGGATGACTGGCATAGCACAAACCACTTAGAGGTGAAAGACAAAGCAATGGAATTTGCACAAAGCTGAGATCAATACTAATTTGCACAAAGCTGAGATCAATACATACCAAAACAAACACAGGATCAGGGGCTGGTAGTGGGAAGCCGAGTAAACATCTCATTAGTCACACTGATTCTCACCTTCTGTCCGTTGTCACAGGATGTAAGCATTTCCACATCAAATAAATGCCACAGATTTTCTCCTTCACCTCTCCCTCTCGGAGGACAAGAGCTCTGCAGGTAAGCCTGGAGTGCCCACAGTGATTGTTACAGGGAGGATGGGATGATGTTAACAAGGTGCTAGAAAACACTTCAGGCAGCAATCCCTGCTCAAGTGTCTGTGTTTAAATAGAAAGGCCTTTCTCTTCCAGCTCTGACCCCAATTTTTCAGCATCACAGGGTAATTCACGTTGGAAAGGATCTGAGAACATCTCTGGCTCAAAACTGAGTCAGTTTTAAGGTCAGCACAGGTTGGATGCTTAGTGCTTTTCAAAAGAGAGCAAAGGGAAAAAAAAGAGAGGAAAAAAAAGAAAGGAAAAAAAGGGAACTCATCACATGGACTATATTGCATAAACAGTATATACACACTGTGTGAATTTGCTATGACTTTTGGAAACCCGTGTCACATGTTGGCCCTCTTTAGAAAACAAAATGTCATTATATGAAGAAAGAGATGTGCCACTTTGAGCAACGAACATGTTAAAGAATTTTAAAACAATTATTCATCTGTGGATAAGGAAAAAAAAAAAAAAAAACAGAAAAAGCAGAATAGAGTTACATCTTGGTTTTACCATTTGTTTCTAATGACCAGTCTTTATACCAAGTTCATCTGGACTGACAGCTGACACATCAACTTAAGGCCAGAGCTATATGAAATGGCAGAGCTGCTGTATTTAATCCCCCACTCCCGCCGGCACTCATGCATAATGCAAAGCACAGGCAGACACCTAAAAAACAGTGCTAAGTCTACCAGGACTGGGATATTCAAAGGAATTCAAGGGAAACAGGCTCCCATTTGCCAGAGGTCAATAGCAAATGGCAGCCTGGCTCCTCTAAGCTCCACTGGAAGTGTTCTTCAGCAACAATAGGGCAGCTCTTTGAAAGAATGCTCCCAGAGGCTTCCACCCAGATTCCTTAGCAAGAGCCGATTTCCCAGGGAACTCATAGCATCTCAGCCTCTTTCCCTTTCCTCCCAGCAAACAGCACTGTGATTGGTTTTGATTACTTTTTTAATGTGATAGATTTGTGACGAATTTCCCGCTGAACAACACGTGGCAACATCTAACCTGCTGAGGCATCTCACCCCTTCACCACGGTGTGACCAAGACTCCAGCTCTCAGCAAACACCAGGAAAATATTCTGATCTTGAAGCTATCATGGAAAAAGGATTTGGACTTATTCCTCAACTGAATAAGTAAGGCAGGAAATCAATCTGAGAATGTTAATGCCACTATTTACTTGTAACCAATCCTAAGAGGAAAATGCGGCAACTGCATTTCTCAGGCAAACAAGCACCTTCAT